TGGTACAGTCTCTCTCCTGCCTTGAGTATACTTAATGACGCAGCCTTCTGTGGTAAAGAATTGCACAGTTTCACTCCCCTCTGGGAAAAGAATTTCCCCATCATCTCAGGCTTAACTGGGTGACCATTTTTATTCTGAGATTATGTTCTCTCGTCTTAGACTTTTCCTTAAGGGGAAACAACCTTCCCACATTTACCCTGTCACTTCCTCTGAGAATCTTGTATCTTTCGATAAGGTTGCCTCTCATTCTTCTATATTCCAATCAGTACATACCAATCTACTCAAACCCTCCTCATTAGACAGGCCCTCCATACCCAGTATCAGCCTAGTGAACCTTCTCTGGACTGTGTCCAATGTCAAGATATCTTTCCTTCGATGTGGAGCCAAAAACCATTCACAGAATTCCATCTGTCGGGATCCTGTGGATTTGTGTTGGGATTACCAGACTGATCATAAACTCAGCGCTGCCCGATAACGCCTGTTAACAAGACTTACCTGGGCATATTTATTGAAGATCTGTTCCCAGGAGCTGTTATCTGTTCTGTTTGGTGCCGGCTGAGAGAGGGAAACAAAGACATCGTGGTAAAGGCAAAGCCACATGTGATTCTGCCCAATCAGTGCCCATTGCCCCTTGCCCTGCTGCTGCTGGTCTATCTGGGCCATCGAATATGTCTGAATAAGAGGCAGATGGTCAGGACCCACCTCCAGGCTGGCCATTCCCAATCTCTGTCATGTCAGCCTGACCGTTGGACCACCCTGAGCCCTGCTGCTGTGCCTCACCACCCCTACCCCTACCCCACTCCCCCACCTGGGGGGGGCCAAAGCCATTCCCTCAGACCTTCTGGTTTCACTTCATCCATCTCTGGCCAGCAAGGGGAGAGTAGGTGGGGATCCACAGTCTAAAGAGCAACAACATCGCTGTTGGCCTGTGGTCATCCTGCCTGAGGTCCCTGCATGCTGGGACATAAATGGAAGGGAATCAGCCACATGACCCCTTCCCACCTTTGGTTACATGGCCTTCTAATACATACCCCTCCCCGCTTTGGACGATTCAGGTTAAATACCACGAATATAACATATTCTGTAAATAGAGGCCTATAAATGACCATAGATGTTACCTCGGTTTGTCGGCTCTGTTTCATGAGCAGTTTTCCCACTTCCGAGACTGAGCATTATGGGTTTGACCCCGACCTAAAAAGCTGACTGGGTGCTGCATCATCAGCAGTGTGACCTCTTCGATAGCATGTTAAACCCAGGCTCTCAACTCAATGTGAAAAACTTGAAGCAACTCCCTCCAATACCGAGTAATTATTATTCTTCGATCAAATTTATGTCCTTGTCGTCAAGGGGCGCTTGCTGTGTCGAAATGGGTTCAACTCTAGCCTCTGTCGTGTGACTGAGGACGTAAAGTGGGATTATTTAATTGTTGGGATACACTGCAGGAACTTGCTGAGGCTCTGGGTCAGAATTCTGTGCAGCAGAGTGGGCTGCAGTGGTTCAAGGAGGCAGCTCACCAATGCCTTCTCCAAGAACAGCCAGCTGAGTCCAGCTAGCGACACACGCATCTTGTCAAAGATTGGGCAAAAATTCATAGGATTTGTGTTTTCTTCTCACTCCTCTAAGTAAGAACCAGTATGTACCATAGGATGGTGAAGATTAGAGTTGGAACTTGTATCTCTGTAAGGAAAGAGACAGAAATCATGTCACATATTCCATTTGTAATACAAATCGAATCAAACTATTTACCGCAAATACAGAGAAAGAGAAAACTCAAAAGTTCAAGACCTAATGGTATTTGATTGACCAGATGCCAGTGGAAGGTCATCCATATTTGGGATGGGGGTCTGGAATTACGTAGAGGTAGGCAGGTCATTCCCAATGGGTTTCAAGGGCCCATTTTCTTTCTTAGTGACAAATTCAATCATTCTTGCAGACTTTTTCTCTGGTGCCAGCCCGCAATCTACAGCTTTAGCCACTGAAAGCAAAAAAAAGCTGGAGATCACAGCAGGAAAGGCAGCATCCGTGGAGAGAGAGACCAAGCTAACGTTCCGACTCTCGATAACTCTTCATCAGAGCTGACAGGAAGTGTGGAGGGGGCAGCATTTACGCTGTAGTGGGAAGGTCAGACTGCTGGGAGAGAAAGGATGTTGATAGTTCGGATTAAGTGATCGGAATGTGGGAACAGCAGAAAAATGGTGTGTCTAGCTGTCAGACTGGGAAGGACAGACAGTCCTAATGGGATAGGGGGAGGCAAGAGATGGTGACAGAGAATGTAACAAGTAAAGCTAACAGAAAGGGAAGGAATGAGAGTTGGTTCACAATTTAAAGGTGTTGAGCTTAATATATGGTCCAGATGTTTGAGAAGTGCCTAGTCTGAAGATGAGATGTTGTTCCTCCCATTTGCACTGTGATTCACTGGAATACCGCAGCATGCCGAGGACAGACAAGTGGGCATGCCAGCACAACGCTGTGTTAAAATGGCCAGCTACAGGGAGGTTGGCATCCTGTTTTCGCACAGACCAGAGGTGTTCCACAAAACGGTTACCCAGTCTGCGTTTGGTTTTTCCGACGTAGAGTAGGCCACATTGTGTGCAGCGAATGCAATAGACCAGATTGGAGGGGCTACAGGAGGTCAGCAGTTGATAATTGGGAGTGATTGTGATCTCCTGATCTCTGAGCTGTTCGGAGAGCTGTGAGTATAACCAGCAGGCCACCCAGTTTTCCTTCCTGAGATTTCCCAACCTCTATCTGTAACGAGCTTTCACTTCCTATTGTGGGCCTCTCCATTGACAGAAACAGAGGGTAAAGTGGACAGAGAGAGTACAAGCGAGAGGGAGGAGAGGAAAAGGCAGAAATGATAACTTACTTGTGGCAATTCCCCTTCTGGAAGTAGGCGCGGAGAAGGAACTCAGCTTGTTCGTTGGGGTAGTACGTACTTGGCACCAAGACATAGGTGCCTGGTTCCAGCTGGTAGGTTTCACTGACCTCCCTGGCATTCCAGTATTTTACCTGTTTGACCAGGTAACACTCATGCAGTAACGTCTGTGTTAGTTTCCCATTCTGTACCTGGAGCTGGGATGGAAATGGAAAATCAATCAGCAACTCGTAGAACAGGGGAAGCCATCTAACCCATTGTACATGTGCTAACCCCTTACCAGAGCTATCCAGTCAGTCCCATTTCCCCACAGCATGATGGGCTATAACACAGGGTGATGTTTACTGTCTCCCTGGAGCTGGGTGTGCAAACCAGGGTTGGTGGGGAGCAGGGGGAAGCACAGTCTGATCAGTGGGAAAGAACCCTATTGAACCAATGGTGGTGATCATTGTGTCACACTGGCCTAAGGCAGTAGGTAGGCCTGGTGCCTGATGTTGCAAAGGAACAAGTGTCACAGCCAATGAAGACATCCATCAGCAGCGATGGAGGGAGCCAGGGTATGAACTTGCTCCAATCTTTAAACTAATTCCTCTCCTGCACCTACTGGTGCTCCTGGCTGGCATCGGCAAACCTGCCCCATCCACCATAATCTGTGGGCTCAATTATTAGCTATGTTGGCAACAGACACTGGCAACTGCCCAATGCCAACGTGACCAGGGCAGGACCTGGGGACCCGGAGAAATTGGGGTGGGACCTGGGGACCCCCAGAGACTGGGGCGGGACCTGGGGACCCCCAGAGACTGGGGTGGGACCTGGGGACCCCCAGAGACCAGGGCAGGACCTGGGGACTCACAGAGACCAGGGTGGGACCTGGGGACCTGCAGAAACTGGGGGGGGGGTCCTGGGGACCAGCAGTAGACACCAAGCCATGTTGGCACTGGGCAGTTGCCAGTGTCTGGTTAGCAGCTGTCAGGTGCCAGTGCAACTGGGGAGGGGGTGTGTGAGGATTGGGGTGGGGGGAGGTGTGTGTGAGGATTGGGGTGGGGGGAGGGGGGGGGG